TTCATTATTATTATTAAATTTTAAATTTTAAAATTAAATTTTAAATTTTAGTTTATATTTTTTTTCTTCATAATCATTCAATTTAATTTTAAAATTAAATTTTAAACTCTAATAATATGTACTTTCCTATCTCTTTCTTCCTAACTATATTTTACCCAAATCCATCCACTCAAACCCAACCTGTCCCACCTTCTCTCCTCTCTCTCTTTCATCTTCACTCAGTCTTTGCTTTTCGAACATTCGGATAGTTCATCTTTCATTTTTTTTTTTCTCAAATACTACCCAGACCGTCGCATTCAACATCTTGTTCAATCGACGCCAATCAGTGATATTATTTTGAAAATACATATTAATTATGTGTTTATAGGAGCTTATAATTAATTTTTTACTCAGGGCCCAAAAAAGGTTCGAGACGACCCTGCTTACTAATTACATATATCCAGTTAAATTGGATAAATTAGTTGGAACGGATGAAATATTATTTTATTTGTAAAATATAAAATTTATTAAAATTAATGCAAACTATAATTATTAATCTTTTTTATATAATGTATAATTTTGTATTATATAAATTTTATATTAAAAAATAAATAATAAATACAATTTTTTGAAATTAAAAACGTGGTGGAATAATACATTAATCAATAATTGAGTACAATAATAATATATATGGTCTATTGTTCTTTTACATTTTTATATCATTTCAAATACAAGAAATTAGACATATTTTCAAAATGCTAAAAGAATAATATAAAATTTTTAATAGTACTTCCATAATTCTCAATAATTAATAATATGAAATTTTTAAAACCCTACACATAGGTGACTAAATATTTTTAAAATAAAATATAAAATATACTTAATATAAACAATTAGTTCAAAATAATTTTTACCAAATAATCTAACAAAAATAATTAATATATAAAGCTACTCAAATCGAATTACTTAAAAGTTAATTGTCAAACACCTCATTATTTTATTTATTTATTTTTGGGTAAAATGTTGTTTTAGTCGCGTAATTGGACCCCTTTATCATTTTAGTCTCGTAAGTGGAGCCTGTCGCAAACTAGTCCCATAAGTGAAGATTTTTCGCTGTTTTAGTCCTCCGACGCCGGAAACGCCCGCGTGGCTCGCCGGAGGTGACGTGTCCGCCAAGTGTCCCGCCAGGTCAGCGACACTTGGCGGACACATGGATTTACTTTTTTTTTTTCATTTTTTTATTTTTTTATTTTTTTAATTGGACCAAATAAAAAAAATACAAATAAAATTAAAAATAAATTAATAAAAAAAAAAAAAAAAAAAAATCCACGTGTCCGCCAGGTCAGCGACACATGGCGGACACGTCACCTCCGGCGAGCCACGCGGGCGTCTCGGGTGCCGGAGGACTAAAACAACGAAAATTTTTCACTTATGGGACTAGTTTGCGACAAGCTACACTTACGGAACTAAAAAAACAGTTTACCTTATTTTTTTTATTTTTTATATAACTAAGTTTAATATTTTAAGGTGAGATAACTATTTAATACTCCCTCTATCCCACGTAAAATTTCTATATTTTCTATTTTTGTATGTGTTATATAATTTGTCTTTTTCTTTTTTAAAAATATAATTATACGTTTTAATTATCTTTTAAATTTTATTATTTATAATTTTTTTAATTTTAATTAAACTCTTTAATTATCTTAATAATCTATAGTTATTTTTATAATACAATAATTATTTTTATTGATATACTTTTTAATTACTTATTAATTATACTTTACCTAAATTATTGTATCTACGGTTTTGTGGATATAGTACAAAAGAGGAGTAACATGTTTAATATAAAGATAGATATTAGATGTAATATGTTTGGAAGAAAAATAAATTAAATGGTAATAACATGCATACAAAATACATAAGAACAAATTTCCTTTGGATTATATAATAGGTAAACTGTTTTTTTTAAGTCGTAACTGGATTCTCTTATCATTTTAGTCCTGTAACGGAACCTGTCGCAAATTAATTTCATAAGTGAAAAAATTTCGTTGTTTTAGTCCTCCGGCGCCGGAAACCCCCGCGTGGCTCGCCTGGCGGACACGTAGATTTTATTTTTTAATTTTTTTTAAAAAAATTATTTTTAATTTTATTTGGTTTTTTAATTTTTTTATTTGGTCCAATTAAAAAAAATAAAAATAAAAAATAAAATAAAATTCACGTGTCGTGTCGCTAACCTGGCGAACACGTGGTTTCCGGTGAGCCACGCAGGCGTCTCCGGCGCCGAAAAACTTAAACAACAAAAATTTTCCAACTGATAGGACTAGTTTGCGACAACCTCCATTTACGGGACTAAAATGATAAGGGGATTCAGTTACGGGACTAAAAAAAACAGTTTACCCTTATATAATTGGTGTAATATATAGTGGGTCTTATATACTTATCTTTTGAACTTTATTTTTTAATATTAGAAAATAATAATTAAATCACATTTGATATAAATTTAAGATGTTAAATTTATTTTTGAAGGAAAATTTTTACTGTGAAATGTAAAATGTAAAATGTGGACAAAACGTTGAAGCATAATAATAATAATAATAATAATAATAATAATATAAGTGTTTTGTTCTTTGTAGTTTTTTCATTCTTAATACATCAAGGGTGTGTTTGTTTGAAGGATTTTGGTGGATTTTCACTATTCATCCAATTTTTTCTCCCAAAAAATATCAAATCAAACACCTATTTTTTATTTTTTATATTATACTAAAAATCAATTTTACATTCAAAACATCACATCAAACCCTATTTATATCACATCATACAACTATTCAAATTCAAAATTTTTACCATTCAAATCCCAACTCAAAATCCAAACCCCCAAACAAACACACCCTTGATATATTTTTCCTTCAAAAGATCATAGTAAATAACTATTCACTTGAAAATAAAAAACACTAAAAAAAAAAAAAAAAAAAAAAAAACCCCAAATTTCCATTATTTTTTGAGTATATGCACAATATTTTCATTAACTACTTATTGGGCTTGCTTTTATTTTTGACATATTTTCCCATAAAATACTTATTATATATAATATTTTTAAAAGTTGATATACTTTTACGATAGATATTAAGAGTGTGTTTAATGTATGAAAGAATTATATGAAGAATATAAAAATAATAAATATATAATATATTAATATTTTTGAAAAATACCGTGTATATATTTTTTATTAAAAGAACACACTCAAATTGTACACAAAAGAACAATAGTAATAAAAAAAATAAAAAATAATAATAAAATATCAGTATTTTAGTATAATTTGAAACTAAAAATAAATAAATAAATAAATAATGATATGATCTCCTTGAAATGAAAAAATATATCAAGTACATTTTTTTTAAAAAAAAAAGAAGTTGAAAAACATATTACTTAGTATAACTTTTTTTATAATTGGAAACTGGCCTAAAAGACATTTTTCTTGATTAATTTAAATAGGCCCCCACTACTAATTTCAATTATTACAGTATTCAATTTTAATTATAAATTCTAAATAAGTTGAAACACTGAATGGGTCCTCTTTGCCATACGCCATGTGACATTCCCTAATTATATCTTCAAGAAATTGCTCATTGTCCGAGTTAAATTTATAAAATAAATATTCATAATAAAATTTAAAGGGATCCCACTAGAGTTACAAGTCAAAAAATAAAAATAAAAAAAAGAGTAAATTGAACTCCAAATTATTTAAAATTATAAGATTAGAACAGACATCCCACATGCACATCCTAAAGGAGAAAAAAAAAAAAAAAATCCTAATCATCATTGAAGCCCATAATATAAAGAATTCCCAAATGCTTATTTATTTCCAATTAACATTTTAAAATCCTAATTATATATATAATATATATATTGCAATCCAATCTTCATATCTTGAGACAGCCAAAAAAATTCCCAAAATTAATAATGATGTGCATGTTAAGGCTGCAATAAAGCCATCATCACAAGCTCCAGCTAATGCATATCCACCCCTACCCACTCCACCCCCCCCCCCACCCCCACCCCACCCACCCTCCAAAATCCCATTACCATTAATGACAAAGCTTGACCCATGCCTTTGGTTGTTGAATCAATCTCTATTCACACTCTACTCCCTCATATGGGATGCACCCCTCCAAGAATACAACATTACTCACTTCACATTGAACCCCTTAACCACCCCCCCACCCCAAACCCAATCACTTCCACTCATTACAACATTACCCACAACACACAATCACCAATAATTAAAAAATAATGGTAATGATAATATATTTAAAGACACAAACATCAACAAGACTCCAATACAAGAACAAGACTATTTTGTCCTACAAAACAGCCCCTTTTAAGGAAAGTAAAGTAACACTAAATCCAAGTGATTAAACCTCAGTTAAGTTGCTAATTATGGTTAGTTCTCACCATTCTAAACATATAATATTTCCAGATTAAGCCCACTAAGCATGCAATTAGGGCAACACAAGATATGCAAGAATATCTATATATGTATAAAAAAAAGAGCGGACAGGGATTTAAAAAAAAAAAAAATTAATAGGCACTTTAGAGAGATACATTAAAATAAAGGGCATGAATTAATATTATTAAAATTATTATAATAATAATATAGGAGGAAAGTAGTAGTAGGAGAATGAGGAAGATCTTTGTTTTTAATAATCAGGTGTGCTACAGAAGAAGATGAGGAAGAAGAAGAAGATATATAGTAATAAATTATTGCAAGTAATTGCCCTAATTTCTCCCTTTCTGCTGCCTGGTTTCAGACAAACAAACCCTTTGCGTCTCCACAGCAAAACTTATGAGAAACAAAGCAATCAATTTGAAGAGATTTTGTATAATCAAGAAACTAGCTAGATTAATGGCAGCTCATAATAATTAAAGATGTGAAATTATGTAAATTATTCTTGTTCTTGAATCTGATGATGTCTAGTTGTTGTTGTTTTTCAAAGAGAGGCTAATCCAAATAAACAAGAGGATGAAGAAGAAGATGATCAGGAAACAAAACCTACAGAAGTTTGAAATTAAAGGAACAAATCGATGCCTCAGCTCAGCTCAGATCAACTCAGCTCAGTTCTCTGTTTCTGCCTAGAATTCTTATTCTAATAATTAATTAATTAATTAATCAGATCAGGAAGAAGAAGAAGATCCGTTTGTACCGTCGCGGGGGTATTGGGAGGAGTCGCCGGCGGCGGCGACGCTGTGGTTGGCTCCATTTCCGGCGGGAGGATGGTGGTTGTCCTTTTTGCCGAGGGTGTTCTTGTTGTTGTGCATCCATACTTTGAAAACGCCTCTCTCAACCCCAATTTCGGCGCAGGATTCGTTAATCAGGTCTTCGTCCTTCTTCTGCATTTTCCAATCGACTTTCTCAGCCAATTCCAGCATTTTGTCCTTCTGATTTTGAGTGAATTTGGTGCGGAACCGCTTCCGGCTGTTGGACTTGAACCGCGGTGCGGAGGCGGCGTTAATCGCCGGAGAAATCGGCGGATTGCTCTCCGGATGCGGCGCGGAGGCGCCATGGCTGAGGGCGAGGAGCATGTGCGACGCCGACGGGTAGAACGACGACGAGATCGGAGGCGGCGAAGGAGAATTGTTCGGGCTGCTGCCGCTGTCGCCGCGGCGCGCCGGAGGCTGCGGCGGCTGGTGGCGATGGAGAGACCTGAACTCCATTGCCGCCGCGAGCGCCGCCTCGTCCGGCTCGCGCCGGTGGAAGTTGCGGTGGCAGCCGCACGCCGCGCATTTGAGCGACGTAGGGTCGGCGGGGTCGGAGCCGGGGGAAGGCATGAACTCGCCGCATCCGTCGACGGCGTGGCCGCCGATGGACGCGGCGTGGTTTTTGAGGCAATCTCTGTACGTCACCACCACCGGAGGGTGTAGGTGCTGCGGCGCGTGCCGCTTCAGCACACCGTTGGCGTTCCCAAAAGACGGCTGGATCCGCGTCGGAGTTTCCGATTCAGCCTCGGGCGTCTTGACAGTCGAATTACCGGCGGCGGTGGCGTCCATGGCAGCTGATCGAGCTGTGCAAACAACATAAACAGGATTAGATTGATTCGTATTCCAGAATTCTGAAACTTTGGGGATTAGGGTTTCTGGGGAAGAGAGAATTGAATTGAAGAAGAATCAGTGGAGAAAAATGGCTGTGTGTGTGTATGTATGCAGATGATGATGATGATGATGTTGATGATGGATGATGTATTTTTCAAAAATATATTTATATAATAATAAATATTATAAATATAAATAAATAAATAATCACTTATGTGACTCTCCTCCTTAATCTCACCTTTTATTTTATTCCTAATTTTTTCACCTCTTATAATATAATAACTCTTTTATTTATACTACTCAATAAAACCACGCCATATTTTTTTATATAAATACATTTATTACATTCTTATCTCTACTATTGTTTTTTTTTTTTCATTTGGTTTATTACACAATTATCTCATTATACAATATTGCCTATAACTATTTAAATATGATATTTTATAAAAAAAAATATATATAAAAGAATTTATTATTTTTATATGAATTTACGTCATTGAAAATCATTTTGGCTACATATATCTTCTACTAGGAATAATTCAAAATAGATTATATTCCTCAAATAATTTATCAAATATAAAGCGAAAAATGACAAAAAAAAAAAAAAAAAAAGACGTATTGGTGATTTTATATATAAATAAATACATGTATTTTACAGACATATTTTTTAAAAAAAAATAAAATTGAATAGTAGTAATTTTTAATATTTTATTTTATTTTTTTTTAAAAAAAATGGGATAGTAGGAAAAGGGTATTAAATTTATGGTTGCGTGAAAGTTACATATTTATACCAAAATGGTGTAAATATAGAGAAGGGGACAGGTCTGCCGTATTTACTGAACCCCCCAAAATATTAATATTAATATAAAAATATATATATATTATTTATTATTTAATTAATTAATTAGGCCGTTAAAGCTGCCACTGCACCAGACCCTTTTTAACCCTCGATATTATTTTGGATGCGGTTACTTTTTTTTTTCTTTTTTTTTTTATTTTAAATTTTATATATCTCTTTTTTTAATACTTACTTTTTTTTTAAGAATAAATTACTATAAATACAAAAATTTAAATAAAATATAATTAATAAATATATGGATAAAAATAATTACTATATTCATTGAGCTTTAAAGTTTTTATTTATATTAAAATATAGTACAAATTAAAAAAATTCAAAAAAATATTTTTTTTAATATTTTATAATAGAAGAACGTTTGTATAAATAATTATACAAATATAAAAAGATATTTAAGTAAATATAACCTTTAGAGTCATATAGAAAGAAGATAAATCAAAATTAAAATAATTAAATAATTTAATTTAAATTGTAAAAATTATAAATTATGAACTTTTAAATATGATTAAAATATATAATTATATTTTAAAAAATCAAAGAAATGACAATTATATGGAATATACAAAAATAAAAATTATGAATAATTTATGTGGAAGAAAATGTGTATATTATAATAAAATGAAAGTTTAAATTATGGTTGTGTTTATTTGGACGATGAATTTTGGTTTAGGATTTGAACAGTACAAATTTTGAATTTGAACAGTGGAATGATTCGATATAAATAAATATTGATATAAAAAAATGTGCTTGATTTGATATATTTATGTTAAAATTTTTTGATAAATAATAAAAATTTGATAAAATATTATAAACAAATACACTCTGTATGTTATATGAAGTGTATTTATTTTGTATTTTTTCTGAATGAATATATTTTTAAATTAGATATATAAATTTATATTTAATAGTATAAAAAATAATATTTATATTAAATAATTGATTTTTCAAGAAATTCTAAACATAATTACATATGCATCACAAGTACTGAGGGCTAAATATATAGATCATATACATTATATACCTCCGTCCCATAAGTAAATATACATTTGTTTTTTCTACGTAGTTGAGAAATATTAGTATTATATTTGGATATAGTAGGAATAAAGTAGAAATGACTAAAATAACTTTATTAGTATGTGTGATATAAAAGTAATGGCATTTGTGTAATATACTGTAAGTTGTAAAAGTATTTGTAATGTTAGATAGATAGTACAGTTACTAAAAAAAGAAAATTAATACTTTGTTATGGGACGGAATAAAATTGAAAAATTGATATTTTGTTATGGGACGGAAAGAGTATATTATATTCCCTTCATCCCGTAAAAAAAATGTCAGTTTCTATTATGTCCATTCTAAAATAAGAGTAGTGTAATTTTCAAATTTAGTAATTGAAATTTTTATTTAATATAATAAATATTTTTATAATTTATAATATATTACACAAAAATTATTATTTTTATATTAAACAATACTAATATAGATATTTTTATATTTTTACAATATATTAATATAATACTAATATTTAAAAAATATGTATAAAACGTAAATAATACTTTTTTTTTATAAGACGAAAAAAATATTCTTTTTGTAATATTTATGGTAATAATATTAATTAAAAAATTGTTGGACGAACGAACTCTTTTTTTTTTTTTTATACATGTGTATTTTTTGGTATCTTGAAGGATGTGTTAGGTTTTTGTTTAAATTTTAATTTTTATTTGAATTTTAATTTAAATAATTTTTTTTCATATTATAATATATTTTTTAAATTGTCTCAATAATACTTTTTAAATACAAAATAATTAACTATTAAATGCTTAAATAAATATATGTATATATATTTCTTTTATTAGATTACTTAATTTTCAATTTATTTTACTATTTATTTAAATTTTTATGCTGAAAATCAAATAATTTAACATAAATAAATGGAAAAAATATTTTTATCAAAACCATTTAAATTGAATAGTATTATTTTTAGTTTAAAATTAAAATCAAACAAACACCAATTTATTGGAGCATTTTTATTTTTTATTTTGATATATCATAGTTTAATGTTTTTGGAGTAAACCTAATATTTTGAGTGAAAAATATGTATTGATATAAATTTTTTAAAAAATAAAAAATAAATAATACTCTTTCCGTCCAAGCAAAATTACTTTTGGTGCGGAGTTTAAGAAATAATTGTATTTAATTATAGTAGGGATGTAAAAGTAATGTAATGATATTTTTGCCCTTACTTTTTTGGTATAAAAGTAATGAGGTGATGTAAAATAGGAGTATTTGTGGAAAAATTGAGTATTTAATGAAATAGTTAATTTGTAATTGGACGTGTCAAAATAAAAATATGTATACTTTATAACCGAACGGAGAAAGTATAAAATATATATTTAAAAATACTACTAAACAAATCCATTATTTTCATTTAATTTAAATTATTATTGTTATTATTATATGCATAAATTTCAAATAAAATAGCACATAGTTTTCTTTAGATAACTCCAAAAAATTAAAAATACTATAGTGAATTTAATGTGGCCGAGAGAGTATGAAATTTTAGAATTTTGATGTAATATTTTGAATCAAAACAAAATATTTTTTTTGATAATTCAAAAAATGGAGTATAATATTTTGATTGATTAATTGATTAAATCATTTCGACACATTTTATGATAAATGTCAGAATAGTTAATACTTCCCCCGTGTCACTTCTTATGTCCACCTTTCCATTTTTGTCCGTCTCATTTATTTTGTCACTTTTCTTTTTTGGAAAATAATTATACACTTTAATCTTATTTCTAAAAAATTTAATTTATAATTTTTTTAATTTTAATTATACTAATCAATTATACGATAATTATTTTCACTAATATATTTTTAATTATTTACTAATTATACCTCTTCTAAATTCTCGTGTTTATAGTAACACGGACAAAATATTCGAGACGGAGAGAGTAATAACCAACCAATTTAAAATATCAACAATATCAGTTATATTAATAAAAATCTAACACACGTTTAATTATTTTACCAAAAATAACCTGGTTGATTATTGGTTGTTGGACGTTGTAGGATCATAAATTCATGAATGAAAAAACACACATAAAATGAAAATTTATTTTTGTATTAAATTTTAAAAGGGAAAATATATATACAATAATTTTTTAGAAATTTATAAATATATAATATAAATTTTACAGTTTTATTTATTTTAAAATTCACAAAAAGTATATGTAAGGATTCTATATACAAAATACAAAAACTCTATGTATCATATTTATAAATATGAGAGGAATTGATGCTATAGGATTATTACCTCATTTACGTTATGCGTGTTGATCTTTAAATATTAATTATTATATCAAAACTTATGATAAATTAAAAAAAAAAAGTATATAAATACTTCAACTAGTATTTTATAATACTAATAAAATGATATTTGTATAAAAAAATTATACAAATATAAAAATATTTTTAATATTAAGTACAATGACACAAAAAGTAAATGTGACTCTTAAAGGCGAACAGAGTGAGTGAGTATAATATAATATTTAATGTGTTATGTCAAAATATAAAAATTCTTTTGTGATTTTAAATAAAAATTCATAATATTTATTTCGATTGATTTTTAATAAAAATATAATATTTTATCTGACAGAACATTATACTAAAATATATTTTGAATAAAAATTTAGATTAATATTTTATTTCAAATTAAGCTAATCTGGCCCTTATATGAATATATATATATATATTAATGGAATGATTAAAGAAATGTGCATAATACATAATAATATATCCATAATAAGGAAAACAATTACAAATTAGTAGTGCTATAAATTTTGGGGAAAATAACGAGATTGTCTTATTGATCATCAAAATAAAGGAGCCTACATATAGGTCATACAAAACAAACTTGATAGACTCAAATCTAAGTAACCTAATCTATTCTATGAATAAGATCAAATCCAGATATAAATCTACTAAATCTAAAACTGAATATCTAAAATATCTCAACAAGTAGAATGTAACATTTAATAATGACTTTTATGACGGGCTTAATATAGTAACATTTTGACATAATTAGTCAGATACGCTACATAGTGATTGTTTGTTTAATGTTATTATTATTATTATTATTTTCTCTATCCACCTCTAAGAGTTAAATTTAGCTTATTCGTCTGTCTCTAAGGATCACATTTGTTTTTTATATCATTGTACTTAATATTAAAAAATATTATTATATTTGTACAATTTTTTATACAAATATTATTCT